AAGCTGGGACTAAAATGCATAATCTTCCAGCGCTTTAGTCAACTACATTGATTTGATTTTAGTGATAATGTACACTACCTAATGCAAATGATCCTGAGGTGGAATTCAGGGGGTGAGTGACAAAACCAGGGAGGGGAAAAAGAATGGACACAAACAATGTTAGTAAAGAGAGCTAAAGTTATTCAATGCATTTGTGTGCGTTCTGAGATTGTGAGTCAGTGTGGGTGTGCACTTCGGAGACACAATCCAATGCCTCCAATTTAAAACTCAGTTATCGGTGGCTTTATAAGAAGTGATGGTTTAATTTTAGACCCTCAGGATTCTCGTTCGTTTCTGGCCATCCCTCTCAGTGATAGCTCCATAAAGAGCTACTCCGTGTACCTTATTTTTTGGTTTTTGGTTTTCTGACCAAGATTATGGAAAGTTTTCACTTGGAGTTCAGCTTAAACCTGGAGAAGAACAGCTGCCTAATTTGCAAATGCAATTCTCTCTCCAAGAGCACCATCTTGAGACTTCAAGCTGTTCTACAAAAGATTCTCCAATAGTCACATGATGGAAATCATGACTCACCTTGTTGAACTGATAGGGATCTATTCATGGTATACCTAGACTGAAAATGCAGACAGGCAGGAATTTAGCCAATCTTCCAAAGAATCAGAGTTTAGCTGGAAGGGACCTTCTAATCTTCAACCTCAATGACTCCTACTACATATCCCCTTTTAGCCTGATGGACCAAGAACTGACAAATTGGTTCCCCCTTCGTGAACTGTTGAGGATTACCTGTATAAAATGTGGCCAAAATATTGCAGTGTGAAGCATAGAATAAGAACAGAATAGAATAACAGAGTTGGAAGGGACCTTGGAGGTCTTCCAGACTAACCCCCTGCTTATGCAGGAAACCCTATACCATTTCAGACAAATAATTGTCCAATCTCTTCTTAAAAACTTCCAGTGTTGGAGCATTTACAACTTCTGGAGGCAAGTTGTTCCACTGATAATTGTTCTAGCATTATTAACACTTCACATTCATGATCTGGATGCTATCACTCTGTTGATGTAGCTCAGGATTGCATTGGCTTTTTTGGTGTCTGCAGCACATTTCTGGCTCATATTTAAGTGATTGTCCACTAGGACTCCAAGATCCATCTCACAGTTGCTACTGTTGAGCCAGGTACCTGTAGATTTGGGGTGTTTCCCCCCCTAAATGGAGGACATTTACTTTTTTCACCACTTGTCCTACCTACCACAAGCCAGGTGCTCCACCTCAAAATTGATAGATACCTTTTTTAATCTTTTAAGAAATCAAGAATGGCATGTTTTTAGGATGTCATCCCAAAATGCGTTGATGGGGAGGACAAATTTATATCCTGACCTGCATTAATAATATACTCTGTTGATGGTTATAATAAAATAAAAGATGTGAATGTGATGTTACATCATTCAGACAGAGGGAAGGGGAGGAGGAGTGTTGAAATCTGGGCATTTATCTCCCAACAAGGAGAGGCAATGTGGCCTAGTGGTTGAGGCTGGAAATCAAGAGACTCTGAATTTAAGTCTCGCCTTAGGTTTGAATGTCAGCTGGGTAACTTTGGGTCAGTCTCTCTCTCTCTCTCTTAACCCAACTCACTTTGCAAAGTTGTTATTCTGAGGAAAATAGGAGGAAGAAGACATATTAGATATGTTCACCACTTTGTTGTTTATAAAAATAATACGGGTGGGATATAAATAGAGAAGTTTAATCAAAATTGTTGAGAATCCCTGTATCTTATCCTTTTCACCGTTGAATACCCTACTTCCATATTTTTCTTTCAATTTTTAATACATTTCATCTTTCCAAGGTTAAAAAGAAAACACAAAGGGGGGAAAAACACTTTTTTTTGGTTCCTATAGAACAAAGCTATTCATGTTTGCACTTTTAAAAAAATCTGTCCCAACGCAAAATGTTTTTTATGGAAACGCCCCCCCCCCTTCCTTTCTGGAATCCGCCCCCTCAACTTGCTGCTTTCAATCAGGAGAAATTCAAAATGTTCTGAAATTGCAACTTTAAAGCAATACACACATCTCAGGGCCAAGGACATTTTTTTCAGCTCCAAATTTGCAGAACTGCAACCTCCAAAATGAGAAGTGAATATGTGCCAAGTTTAATTCTCCAGAGTGACAAATAAAAATTAATGATTTTATTGGAACAGGAAGTAAACAGACAGACAGAAAATAAATATAGTATATGGTAACAGGTAAAAGTGATTATATTATTAGTAGAATTGTACAGTTTGCTAAATGAAAATAGAATAGAAATTATGATGTGTGTATAATAATGAGATTAGAAGAGGACTTTGTTTTTTTTAAAAAAACCATAAAGGTGTCATAATTAAAAACTAAAAAAAGTCACTTTGATTCCTCACCCCAGAACAAAAAGTATGTTTATTAAGCCATGTTTGGTCCAGTGGTTAAGGAGGCCCTGAGTTCAAATCCCACCTTAGTCATGAAAGCCAACTGGGGGGGATTTGAACCAGTCACTTGCTCTCTCTCTCTCTGCCCAACCCCCCTCGTAGGATTGGGGTCCCCCCCTTTTTTCCCCCTCAAATATTTTTTTTTATTTTTCAATATGAACATATATATTTTGTGGGCATTGCATTGACAGGGTCAAATCCTTTTTAAGCAACAGTAACATGAATAATACAAATAAGTATATGTAATTCTAATCTTCCAACTTCCACAACTTCAACAAAGCTAATGTCTTTTCATAATCCATTTCTCCTTTTCCCATTAGTTCATTTAAACATAAATAACATTTCTTTGCGCCTTGTATTTATAATCCCTAAACACTATTATTTAATATTTTTAAGAATTATTCATGTTTCCACCATAATGTCAATATTCCAATTGCGTAGGGTTAATAATAACGCTAAATATTAATAATATTTAATCAATCCCGGAAGGGTATCTCAAAATCCCACACAATTTCTCGTCATAGGATTATTGTGGTGGTGGGGAAAATAGGAGGAAGGAGTATTAGGTTCGTCCACCATTTTTAATATATCTATATAATAAAGTTGGTGTAATAAATAAATAGATATTTATTGGTTTATTAATAAAATAAACAAATAAGCAAATAAATAAGCAAGTAGATAAATAAGTAAATAAGCAGATAGATGGATAGATAGACAGACAGATGATAGATAGATAGATAGATAGATAGATAGATAGATAGATAGATAGATAGATGATAAACAGAAGCAGATAGATAGATAGATAGATAGATAGATAGATAGATAGATAGATAGATAGACAGATAGACAGATGATAGATAGATGATATACAGATAATAGATAAATTGATACATAGACAGAAAATAGATAAGCAACAGTTAGATGGATAGATAGACAGATAATAAATAGATTGATACATAGACAGAATAGATAGATAGATAGATAGATAGATAGATAGATAGATAGATAGATA